AAAAAGCATAATGTTCCCCTCCTACACAAAATCTTCTTAATGGGCAAAACACATGGAATTATCCTTCCCTCTCCTTCTCTTTTCCAGGAGTAAACAAGATAGGCAGCAGCAGCAGTAGCTGGAGGGCAGTTGTGGCATCCACTTACATCTTGCCTTGTTTTGCAAGAAGAGAGGGATGGCTATTTCTGCCACTCACTCTCCACCCGACCCTAAGACCTTTTCAGCAGCTTGTAGCTCACTGGTCGCAACTGTCCTCTTAACAGACCAATTGGCAGATTGCCCTGCCTTCAAATATTTTCTAACAAGCTGAAAGCAGCAGGGATGTCTACTTAAAAAGGGTGGGAATGTATCTTCCAAGGCTGACCCTCATCATTCTGTGAGAATCACTGAGGTTTTGCCGCTGAAACATAGCACTAATGGAAAAAAAAATACAGGTGTGGGATTCTCTTTAAACATCATCTGGTAAAGTCTTGAATCTCTTATTCTTGGGGACCAACACAACAGAAACAGTTTTTGTGATGAGCTAAGTAGATGCTTCTTTCCACAAATTCAGAAGGAGATAAAAGGCTCCTCTGACCCCAAGGTTTTGCATACATGCCGTGGACAAATTATGTCACAACAATGTCTTGTAGAAAACAAAAGGGGACAGCTTCTCCGTGTAGGCCACTCATCCTTTTCAGTACCATTACCAAGACTCTTGGGTATGATGAGGCAATGCTAATTGTCCTGCAGCCACTGAAAGATGGTGCACACTGAGCCTTTTCAAATTCCATTCATACCACTTCCCTTTCCCATCTACCTCTGAGCTCTGTGATTGCTTTCTGTAACAGCTCCACACTCTTGCTGCTGGATCAAGAGGCTTTTTAAGTGCGGTCATGCAGAACTCCAGCTCCAACATGACAGCTTCCCACAGTGGCTTGCAGAACAATGGGTTGGCATTTTGTACCGAAGATGAATCAGATATCCCATCCTATTGGGGTTTGTTTGGGGTTGTTGTTTTTTTGCTTTTTTAGAATTGGACTGTAAGATTAAATTGAAGTGGTTCATGTAAAAATTATTCTATCCCATCTGAGGTTTGTATTCAATAGCATTCAATAGCATACTAAAGCGAAAACAGTCTGATTCTCTCAGCTAAATAAGCTAGTGCTGACATCCACTTTCAATTGCCACTATGACTTCAAATGGAATCAGAAGAATTTTTTAATGTTCTGCTATGTAGAACATATGTATGCAAAACGACTGTGCATTATAAAATCTTTGAGGTCATCACTTCCTAATTCACTTGAGTTCTGGAGTTACATATTCTTTTCAGACTAAAGATTGACTGTACCAAAAGTGAGAATGTATCCCATAATATCACTTTATCTGCAAAGAGAGGCACGTCTGTAATATAAGTCAGGGTTCAAGGAAATGTGGAACTAGTTCTGCAAGCTCAATAGCCTTAGACCTTGCCAAACAGCAGCCTTCCCTTATTGCATAATAGACTGCAGTGAAAATTAGGAGAGATTTGAAAACAGGTTGAAATATGGCATTGTAGCCTGCTGTTTAAGAAAAAAGCAGAAATTTCACTGGGCTAGTGCAAGCCCCTGAGTATGCCAACATTTGAGTCCTTTTTGAAAGAATTCAGAAAAGAATTAGACACATTCTCCTAATTCCAGTGCTCAAAGTGTGCCTCTGTGCTAAATTATATTCATAATATTGTAATTGGCAGTTTTCAATAGCCTTCCTTTCTGAAATTACTTTTTCTCAATGTCATTCATGGCAGTAGCCATATTGATCTGTTGCACTGAAAACTACAATGAGTATTGTGATACTTTTAGAAACTACCAAATTTGTTGTAGCATAAACTTTTATGGACTGCAGCAGCCCACTTTGTCAAAACTACAGATTGCTGATTTGGGGAATAATGCATCTGAATGGTGGTAAGCCATTCAGGATATGAAATGAATGAATAGAATACAATCAAGTCAACAACATTCCGTCACAGTGGGTGTAGTTAGTGAGCTTAGAAAGATATAGTTCTGTTTAGGGTGGCACTGATTCTCTAACCCTAAACAGGGCCACGGAGAGGGGGAAACTGGGGGGTGCACAAAATTCCTTGGGCCCAAGTCAGCTGGAGTGTCTCTGAAGTTAGCGTCATGCTGCATTCAGAATGCATCTTGTTTTATTTTTAATGCAGTTCTACACTGTAGCCACTAGGGGGCAAGGAAGGCTGAATACAGTATAGAGCAGCAGCTGTGAATATCTGCTGGTTGTACTGTTCTACAAAGTTGACTACATATAGACAAATATTTGTGTATCAAATCCTGCTAAACTCATCAACCAACCCAGCATCAGATCAAGGAAAGACCAGCCAGTGCAGCTACTGTCATTTTAGGCTGCAGCCTCCTAACAAGGTTGTTGTTTCCAATGGTCTTTTCTCCTCTTCCTTTCCTTCCACCTAACTCTATAGTTTTGTCTGCTTAGCCAGTTCTTCCCCGTTAGTGTGTGGCAGAAAATAAAACAACCTGGCTTCTTAATTTTCCTTCCTATTTTCCACACTTTTCCCCTTCATTTTGTTCTTTTCCTTCTGTAATCTGCCTTCATTTCTCTCCCCCCCCCCCTTCTAGTCCCTTCT